CTGTTGAGAGGCGAAACGGAGTTTGTATACTTGGGTGCCTACACTAATCTCCTTTGGGACGCCGACAAGTTTCCAATGCGGACCAATCAGAATTGACCGTTTGGGGCTGCGAGTATAGATTGCGATTGGCTTCATATTGGAATAGTACAGCCGCATTTTCATGCATTTCATACGGTTGGAGCTAAAAATAGAGGCCCATTATAGGTTTCAGTCATTCCTATGGAAATGCCAGTCACATGTTAACTTATCATGCTAACTACAACTTAATGATCTAGAGATGATTATGAAAGAGAACGAAGTTATTAGTCGATGCGAGGATATCAAAGATCATTATTCAAAAATTTCAATCAATCATTCAGGCCTCTGACAACCACAGGAGGCACAGGAGTATCCATAGAAAACAACATTTCTTCGGGCAACGATATGCCTTCATGACAGCAGGAATATGCACGGACTGCTCAACACTGGAAAGGTACGAAGGTGAAGTGACCAAAGGATATAAGTGTCAAATCAACGAAACTTCTAAATCGCCTTCAGTTCTCAAATCTCCTCCTCAAAATGCATGGTATTCTGCTTAACCTGCTGCTCCTCAACCTTCCGTTCCAGATCATGAGTCATATAATCCTCCCTCTTGCTGCCAGGCACAATCCAAGGCGCATTAGAGAACATCTGGTTCATCTCTTCGAGAGGCACCTTCTTAGTCTCAGGCAACAAGAGATAGAAGAAGAGTGCATTAGTGAAGTTGCAAACGACGAAGATGTAGTAGAACCGGTATTGGATATTCGTCATGGCAATGGGCGTAACCTGTCCGATCATAGTGTTGAACGCGAACGAAGTCATCGTCGCGATCGAGACACCCTTGGAACGTGTGCGCGTGTCGAACACTTCGGCTGGGATGATCCATGAAAGTGGGCCGCAGGTTGCTGAGAAGGAGAAGTTGTACAGCCAGGTCATGATGATGAAGCCCCAGTGGGCGCCGGTGTTGTTGGTGGAAGGGGGGAATTTGGCGAGGAGGATTGTTGCGATGATGAATGTTACCATGTTGCCTAGGTTTCCGGTGATCAATGTCCAGCGACGACCGAAGCGGTCGATGAACATCATGCAGAGGAATTGGGCGATTAGAGCAATGATTGAGTTGATTGCTTGGTAGCGGAGGGTATCTGAGCCTGAGATTCCGATTTGTTCGTAGATCTTGGGGGAGTAGTATCTAGTTTGGTCATGTTAGGTGTTTTACTTTTGCTAAAACATTGAGAGAACTTACTGGATGGCAGATACACCGGTCATCTGGACAGAGGCTTGGAGTGCACAGCAGAGGAACAACCGACGGAACGAAGAGCGGTGTGTCAAGAGCTCAACATACGACTTGGCCTCGTTCTCGTGCTCGAAGTTGATGCTCTCCTGAATCTGGGCGAACTCTGCCTGGACCCAGGGGTCGTTCTCATTACCATGAGCGTGGAGCTTGGCCAAGGTTTTCAGACCTTCTTCGGCCTTGCCGTGATCAATGAGCCAGCGAGGGGACTAAGCCATATTAGATACTGCATCCAAGGCTGGGGAATGGATTGTTAAATCCCTTACCTCGGGGAAGAACATGATCAAAAGACCCAGGAACACAGCAGGGGCAACCTGCAAGCCCAGAGGCAATTGCCATTGGGCGTGGTTGTCTGGCGAGAAGCCGACGTATGTTCCGTAGGAGATCCAGGAAGCGCATAGAGCACCAACACCAAGCATGAACTGCTGCAGAGCTGTTACTCGGCCACGGATGCTGGGATGACAGATCTCGGCTTGGTACAGAGGAATCATCATGGTGAGGAAACCGACACTAACGATCAGAATTAGCCATATTGTCGTTAAGGATATTTCTCTGCGGTGATAAGTGACATACCCAAATCCAGCAAGGAGTCGTCCACTATATAGATAGGCGATGGTTCTGGCGCCGGTTTGGAGGCCACCTCCCAGACAGAAGACCAAGCATCCCAACGAGATAGTTCGTCTTCTGCCAAGGTAATCACCACTGGGACCAGCAAATCCGGCACCGAAGAAGGCACCAGCTGTGAACAGGGATACTACCAGGCCACTGAGGACTTGTTAGCGAGGGATATCCAGTTTGTCGAATATGAAACATACCTCTGGGTATCGGATGGAGTAAACTTCGATGTGAACGATTGACAGATGATAACCTCGGCAATAACACCCAAGTCATCTAATACTGTGTTAGAATGAAACTCTTGAAGATCTGGGACGATTATACTAACATCCGTACAGGAACGAACCCAGCGAGGCGAACACGCCAACCAGGAACTACAGAAACATCAGCTCGGCCAGATAAATGAAGACTACTATCCTTCATACCTGGTACCACTTTGGTGAAAGACGCATGGCGCTGTACAAGTCAAACGTCACAATCAGAGTATGGGGAAGAAATCTGGGGATCTCCACATATCACAATATTCTCGGAGGGGACGATGATCCCTAGATATACTCCATCGGAAAACAGCTGAGCACTCCAGGTTCGGAGCCATAGCTTAGGCGAAGCCACCAGCCAGGATCATCGTATGCTTCATAGTCAATTAACCGAGCTAGACCGGAAAAGAACAACCTCCCTCGCGAGTGAAAGGCGTCTCGGTAACAAATGATCTGGCGCATTTTCGTCCATCCTAACAGCCGAGCTGGGATTCAATTCTGCGGGGACCAGGCTTTACGCAGAAATGTGGCGCCATGTAGGTCGCTGTGATTGACGGAACAATTCCACAGATTCGGGTAGTCGTTGTTGTGAGACTCCCCTGCCGGGCTATTGGGTGACAGCCGAGGTTTTTCCAGCTTGGCACGTCTTAAATGGCTTTTGTCGAGAGTGACACTAGCCACAATAAGCATCGGGTGGTTTCTTGCCAATCCTTCGACGACATGATGTTCCCCGCAGGAGTTTTGCCGCTTCCAGGGCAAGCAGGGCAAGCCACTTGATAAGTTCCCTTCTTATCTATTGTAAGTCAATTCTTTCTTTCTGAGAGTCGCAATTCCCAGCCTATACAGCCTATAAGCTACTCGCCCCCCGTAAACAGTAGAACACAACCAATCTCTTCAAAATGACTACCTTGACCAAGTTGGAGGATCATGAGACGCCTGTCATCTCTGTCCATCCGTCTCGGCGCATCTCCAAGGTCAATCCCAACATCTATGCCGGCTTTACTGAGTGAGATTGCCGCACCAAGGCCACAGCGCATGACACAAACTAACATCCTCTATAGGCACATGGGACGCTGCATCTATGGCGGCATCTACGACCCTGGTAATCCGTTATCCGATGAGAAAGGATTTCGGACGGATGTTCTGGAGGCGTTGAAGGGGCTCAACATCCCTGTCGTCCGGTATCCCGGTGGTAATTTCTGCGCGACCTATCACTGGCTTGATGGTGTTGGCCCTAAGGACCAACGTCCATCCAGGTATGCTTGGCTTTCATGCTACCTACCTATTGCTAGCATGTTAGCTGACTATTCGCAGACCTGAGCTTGCATGGCTTGGAACTGAGACCAACCAATTCGGTACCGACGAGTTCATGCAGTGGTGTGAGGCTTTGGGAACGGAGCCTTACCTTTGCTTTAACTTTGGAACTGGTACTTTGGATGAAGGTGTGTTCTCTCTCGGTGTATGTGTTCGGATCAATGCTGATTTGGAACCAACGCAGCTTTGGGTTGGGTTGAGTACTGCAATGGAACTGGCAATACATATTATGCCAACTTGCGACGGAAGAATGGACGCGAGGAGCCTTACAATGTATGTACTCACGAGGAACACTTGCATTTCAATGCGCTAAAGCTCTCAGGTCAAATACTGGGCCCTCGGAAACGAGACATGGGGTCCCTGGCAAGTCGAGCAAATGACCAAGGAAGCCTACGCCCACAAGGCTATCCAATGGGCCAAAGGTAATTCGATCACCTTCATCAATAAATACCTATACTAACAACATTCTAACAGCCCTCAAACTACTGGACCCCAGCCTCATCCTGATTCTCTGCGGTCAAGACGGCACCGCCTCGTGGGACTACTATACCCTGAAGCACTGTCTCTTGCCAGCCCACTCAGCCCTCTCAACCAGCGCAGTCCCCCTAATCGACATGCACAGCATCCACCTCTACACATCTTCATCATCCCACCTACCCAACGTAACAGCCCCCCTAGCAGCCGAGCGCGCCATCGAAATTACATCTGCATTGATCGACCTCGCCCGCGCCGAGAACGGAGTTCCACCAGAACAACTCCGCCCAACAATCTGCTTTGACGAGTGGAACGTATGGGACCCGATCCGCGCCGAGGGAAGCAAAGGCGCCGAAGAGAACTACAATCTCTCAGACGCACTAGCCGTTGCCGCCTGGCTAAATGTGTTCATCCGCAAGAGCAAGGACGTCGGCATGGCTTGTATTGCACAGACTGTGAATGTTATCTCGCCCTTGATGACTAGCCCAGAGGGAATCACTAAGCAGACGACTTGGTGGCCGCTTTATCTGTTTTCACGCTATATGCGTGGCTGGACGATTGCTAGTCATGTTTCTTGTGGGACTTATGAGGGTGAGACTTTGCCCAAGTGGATTCGCAGTGCTAAGGATACGCCTTGGTTGGATGTTAGTGCTACGCTTGGTGAGGATGGGTTTGTTAATGTCGCTGTTGTGAATATTCATGATGAGAAGGATTTGGAGAGTAAGGTTGAGGGCGCTACTGGTGATGTGGCTGTGTTTACTGTTACTGGTGCTCATTTGGCTGCTACTAATATGAACGGTGCGGAGGAAGTGCGTGTCGAGGAGACAACTTGGAGTGGAAACGGGACTTACCTTTTCCCCAAGCACTCTCTTACTTTGCTCAGATGGAAGGCTGAGTAGGCTTCTTTTGTTTGGAGTATGGTGATAGACTTTCAAGTATAGATGTCAAGTGATTATTAGATAAGAAATTGGTACATGAGTGTAGTCTTCTTTCAAGTTGACAAGGGTTCAGCAGGTGTATTGTCCTATGCTCTAGCCATAAGTGACATCGTGAACAGCACCTTCCTCGTTAACGTGGATGTTGAGTCTAGTTCAAGATATGATCAGTAAGCCGTCATCATGATGCTGACCTCGGGGGGATCGACTATTACCTGTCCGGGTTGTGATCCATAGTCTTCATATCACCTGGCTTCAGAACACGGTGGGATTCAGGGAGGTCCTTCTTAGCAAAGGACTAGCGAACAGTTAGATTTCCATGTTCTCAGGAATGTCCAATCTCCACATACCGTCTCATTACTAGAATCGCCGAGCTTCTTGCCCATAAGCTTATTGACCCATTCGGACTTATCGCCCATCGTGGAGTTGATCCCCGGTACAACAAGAGGCATGATGAATGAAAGATGCGAATGTGTTATCAGAGTAAGATGAGGAAGAGAGACTTCCAGGCCGCCGTATATAAAACAGCGCTCATCGATGACGTAGTGTCCCAATCAGGTATAGCGTTGATCTATCAGCGATCAGACCTGGATGTTGAATATCGCCTCTTTACTCTGACTGGCCTCTACTCTGATTGGTTTTGATATGATGTCAAGCTTGGAGGAAACAGGTGTAATATCCTCTTATCAAACTTCTACTGGATCTAAATATGATATGGTGGAGGCTTAGTATGGGGCAACATCCGATATGTACTGCATAGTGGAGCTTATCAGAGTGACTATAAGACTAACATTGACTGGCATAACTCGTAGCGCTAATCTTGACCGACAAATTTGACCCGTGATGGTCCTATATCTTTGCTATGACGCTCCTCTTCTTCTGTCGACGAAAGATCAACGGGGTCCACGGTCCGATGTACCTCTGCTGCCTTTGTTCTATCCCGCCATAGCAGGAACTGAATAGCGGCAGTGACAACGACTGGTGCTTTGTTAGTAGATATTATAAATGACAATTTCAGTCCAACTTACTTAGCAGGATTTGGAGCACAATCGACCATGTATATCCCTTAGCAGCTCGAGGGAACGCAGTAGTCTTCCACACAAAATTGGGAGCCTGTGATACTTGTCAGTATAAATCATCCAAGTCAGACTCTGAGGAACTTACAACAGCCTGAACGACATAAGCAAGGTCATTCGCCATTGCAACAAGTAACGCTCGCTTCTCCGTGTCATCGGAGCAGATCTCGTTGATCCAGCTGAGAATCAGAGGACCCGCGCCCATCTATGGAGCTTGTTAGGCAGTTTCATATAGTATATGAGAGGTTCGACGTACCCCAATGTTGCTTAGCCAATATACAGCCATTCTGCCCTTGATATCCGAGTATAAGGGTACCTTGAGTAAGAAAACACTCATGAGAAGCTTTTTGAAAGTATCTGTTAGCGATCGTTAGACAAGAAATGGGAGTTTGCTTACAGTGATCACAGCACCAGCGTAAATGAATGGCCAGCGAGCGCCTCGGCAAGGCCCGTCCGAGAGCCAGCCCCAGATCAACGCCATGACAATGAAGATACCAGTCGTGGGAAGTGGTACTTGATATTTGATTAGCTATTTAGAACGAGGCATAATGAGAGGTAACTGAAACTCACGATTGTTAATTTGTGGAACAGAGAAAGATTTTCCTGGAACTGGGGGATGGTGGGCATTGAAGCTCTTGAGCCAATAGCCCATACCGGCCTGGGGTATACCATTATTCCAGACGATGTACAACATTGCTGTTTCACGGCGTTAGTCCACTATCAGAAGCAGAGCAACTTGGGGACTCGGGGATACGATGACATACGGAGAAGGTAGGTATGCCAGCTCAAAAGAATTCTCTTCACTTTTGCCTTTGTCCACGGCTGCTTTCCAGCACGACCGATGAGCTGCATTCTCTTCAACGAGAGTACATGCTCTTCTTCGGTTGTCCACCATGTTTTCTTTCCGCCTTGGGGGAGATTGGGGAAGAAGAGATAGCCAGCGACTGCGAGTGGTAGCGTGATAATTCCGTCGATAATGAAAAGCCAGCGCCCTATTTTTATTTGTTAATTGTGTCGCGCACAGCCGTTGGGCCATAATCAAGGGGCAAGATAAATCAGGAGAGTTGAAGAAGGAATAGGAGAATCCGGGGTTACATACAGCCTGCGTAACCATTCGTCCCGTTCAGATTCTTATAAGCAGCTGCCTGCAGAAAGCCGCTGAACAAAGAGCCGACAGAGCCAGCCAGCCAAAAGACCATAGCCCGCTTTCCGATCTCTCGAGGGGTATACCATGATCCTAGAAGGTAGTGAATGCCTGGGTAAAAACCGGACCTGTACCGACTGTCAGAACATTTTATACTTAAGTTATCGTAAGTGAACATACTCAAAAAAACCAACTAGGAAGCGGAGAGCATAGAGCGCATGATAAGATTTCACACTCGATGTGCAGATGGTCGCAATACCCCATCCTACCTCAAGTGAGGGTATAACCCAACGTGGGGACACTCTTGTAAGAAGGAGATTAGAAGGGATTTGGCCAATGACGTAGCCAACAGTCCAGATAGATGTGCCTGTAGTGTTACTACTAGTTAGTAGCTTTCCAAGAACGGGGAAATTCCATGAGACAAATCATACTAGTAACGAGTTGGTTGCCAAACATTTGTAGGTCCTCTTCCATTCCGCTAAGAAAAGCATTGTTGACATTCGTTTGGTCGATGTTCTTCAGAAAATATCCAATCGAAGCAAATGTGAGAACAAATGCATCGACTTTGAAAAGAAGCCATCGCTCATCCGGCGGAAGGTCCCATGTATCCCACAAGTAGCCTTTCCATGACTTTGGTTTCACGGTGCTATTATCGGAAGAGCCATCGGAAATATTCTCAATGTCTCTGTTTATCGATGATATAGTCACTTCACCATTATTTCCTGGGTTTCCCATTATAAAGTAGGAGCTGCTCAACTACAGCAAGCGCAAAGACTAGAAAGTGTGCATGAGACGTCATTCTGCTTTTTGACGATAGTCGTAGTATTTTATGCATTTCGAGGGGGATGTGCTCAGCAACCCTAGCGATCGCGTCAGTTACGAAGCCTCTGCTATCCCCACTGTTTTCTGACATTTCATGGGGGATCTAGTAATGAGTCGGGACTTAATCCCTTAGCCGGGGTCTATAGGGTTATCCAGCCCGTCTGGGCGTATTGCGATGCCACGGCATATCTTGCGCAATACTTGCGCCATTTACTTTAGATACATTTCGAGATACTGGGATATATGTTCCATGTCCGATGTTGTTCAATTATTTCAGATCTCGGGCAATGACCGAAGTCTACGTGGAATGATTCTGTTGCGTGCTAAGGCGTAATCCGACTATCTTTTGCGTGCTATTGGAAATGTCGGATAGTTTCTAGCTCGGCATGCTGCGTAGATAACTATTAACGTTAAAGAGGCGTTCCTCTTCATGTTTACTAGGCAAAAAATCATACAAAATTGCCGACTGGTACTTGATCTCTGTAGTTTGACAGTCTATCTCCGAAATCCAAATACCAAGGGATACCTCTGATAGGTAAAACGTAAGTCTGGTCGGAAACCATATTATTGGAATAGGATCACGGTCGATCAACTCACAGTCAATCTTCTCCAGAGGAAAACCCACATCAGTAGCTGTGCTCCTTCACTCTCTGGCTCCAGTTGTGTTGTTTGGGCTATATTGCACTAATACCGTCAATATGGTCCGGATTACCTTGAGTGTAATCTGATTCAACTACCACTGGTATTAGATTATTAGATCTTTAATAGATTCTTATTCGGTCGGGTTTTCGGAGAATGATACCAGGGTGGAACTGAGATTGAAATGGAATATAAAATTTGAAAATCTGACAGTTCGGTAGTAAAACACACTTGACCTGCAATATTTTGGAAATTTATTCGCGCAGAAGCCATGGCATTATCTTGGACGCTAGTCATTTGGCTATAAATAAGATATACATTATCACTACCTTCATACACCCGTGGATATGGCGCTCATTATCAAGGTCACTGGGACCAGTGCGGCTTGCTGTGGTGACTTGGCTGTGGTAGAGCACAGAAATACGAAGTTGCAAGAGCAAGGCTTGTTCAATGTGCGAGCCCTTATATACAGCGTAACAGTGTTCCAGTCCGCACCAAGTAGGGCTCTGTTTAGCCACCAACATTGGCGACTGGGCAATCCAAAGAAGAATTGTAACAATAGCCGTCGTTGACCTCCCACTTCACAGCAAGGACTGCATCCCAATACAAAGCCATGCCTGCGTTTCTCTTGTGGGTGCCTTTGCGGAAGCGTAGTAGCTTTTAGATCCAGCTATATCGGCCTCGGACTGGCGAAATAGAACCGAAACTGTGAGACAGTTCAACGCCAAATAATACATGGACCAAATAGATCCGGTTAGGCTAGCTAGGGATAGTTTGGCGGTCATAGACCGCTCCTTAACGGTTGATGCCGGCGCGAGCCTAGTCGCGTCCCCTAACCTAATTAGGCCCTCATTAAGTCGAAGGGAGTTTTCTTCTCTCTTAGTTCGATTTAGTGAGCCTGTTGCATGCAACAAAATATCGCTCGGTTCTTGGCGATCATTTCAGGCCCAGGGAATGCCTCTGTCCGACAGGATTCTTTGCATCGACTGGATACTGTTGATCAAAGTGGGATCTTACACTTCGAAGCTCAAGCTTCATCACAGGGTCGGACCTCCGCTATCTATCTACGCGGGCCCAAGCCTTCCACGAAAGCTCATTGGTAATATCCAGGATGTTGCTTGATTTGAATAAGGTGGATACAACATGGTCGACGCAGTTAAGGCGAATGAAACGTGGGGGCGATTTCAATGGTCTTGAAATTGCTTTCAACCTCATTTTACCCTTCAACTAGCTGTTCGAAAGAATGGGGTGCGCAGCCCCACTAGATAGTCGGCTCATTGTCGGAACATATCATGGCAGTTATGTCTGATAGTTCTGATCTCCCAGTAGATCTCACTCTTTCTCATCTCGTTTTCCATCTTCCTCCGCCTAATCCATGATTCTCTTTGTATCTCAAGATATTTCCTTCCTTGCTGCAAATCACCTCTAACCGCCATTTTACAGCATGCTTCTGGCCATTATCAGCTTGTGCGTCTATCTCCTCGAAGCTGGATTTCCACATTAGCAAAACCGTTAACACACAAATAGCATCGTTCTTGTTTTGGTCTTTGTCTCTTTCATCCCTCAGATAAAGTATGTTTGGCTAGGCAAGGGCACTAGAGACATTTCATTGCTCTATCTACTCTTAAACGTCATTTGTTCCACAGAGCATTTATTTTTCGTCTTTATCACACGATCAATCTGCCTATCGAGACAGAGTACTGAACTCATCACCCCCAAAATGCCCTTGAGTGGGTCAACATCATCCAGTTAGCAGGTGTATGGGCATTGCTTAATCTCTCCTGTGAGCTCAAAACATTCTAGTTTGTGACAACCAAAAGGCGATCAGATACTAACTATAATGTATAATTTTGGGCTGAGTCTCTGCCATAAACCTACCAGCCGCCTTATCAAGACTTTACTAGTAGCCATATATATCTTCTTTCTCCTTGTATCGCTAGTGCCTCTCATAGCGGACACCGTACCGGACTTTTTCTGTTCTCCAAGCCTTCCGGGCTGGGATGAATCAGAGTGTGACGGTCTCGCCATGTTCGAGGGATTTCATGCGATGTTTCTCTTGCCGTTATTGACCACCATCCCTCTTGTGATAGGAATCTACAAACAAGTCCGAAACCCTTACAAAATCAAAGTCTGACTGCTTCAATAGTCTTCTCTTCAGTTGTGCCCCTTTTCCTTAGTATATGTGCTAGTAGCTTAAGTATGCTAGCTTCGGGGATCACCGAGAAGGCCGTACCCCACCTGTTAGTTCATCAGCTCTCTGTCTCTCTTTTCAGGGGTCTCTCATGTCTATGTTACTCTCATCAAGCACATCGACCGTTCCTCGGTTCCTTGCGTGTGAAAAGAGTGAACCCCTCGTTTCTATACACGGTGGTATATTTAGGGCTAGTCGGTCGTGATTGTCAACAAGCATCTACCTTATTGTAGACCTGGCTATCACGACATTAACACAAATATAAAGGTAGTAGGTTAAATTGTAGACTTTATTGCTATCTACTTATCATTGTTTTTTGGTCTTTCTCAAGCTTTTCCTGAAAATATATATCTCTAGTCTATTGCAATCAACTCACAACAATTTTATTAGCGCCGTCAATTCTTTTTCGATTTTTCTTTTTCTACTTTATGAATATATAATCGAACAGCAAAGAAGCTTAAAATATAAATAGAGAGAGAGAGAGGTATGTGCAAATGACGTCAAGGTAGGCGTAGGAATGCCGGGAATGCAAGGGAATACGAACAGTCCAAGTTCGCAGGGATAACCAGTTAGTCTATCTATTTTAAGTTAAGTAAAGAAAGAAAAGAGAAAAGAAGATACACATAAAAAGTAATTCATCCAGCTTTTACATATAAAATTCTATCAACATCAACATCAAACAAATCATCCTCATCTATACAAAACCCCCTTCCTTACCCCTTCTAGCTCAAACCTATACCTTACTTCAACTGCTTACTAGCCGAAACACACCAGTTATTCCACTCAGAGAAGAAAGACGGCTGCACGTGACACTTAGTGCTAACAAGCTGATCCTTGCGCGTCTGAGCATAGACATCCACAACGCCCACAATAGCATCTTTATCATGCGCAACAAGAATCTTAACAACAAGCAAACTAGCCTGGCTACAAGCCGTAGCATGGCCCATAGGCCCACTGTGTCCAGCCTCCTTATGCACAGAGCGGAGAAGTTCCCACAGCGCCTCAGTCTGTGCTTCGTCTTCGATCTTCGGTAGGGAGTTGCCCTTGCACACCTTTGTGTACTCGCGCAGGACGTTGTTTGCCTTCGTGGCGATTTGCTTGACGGTCGAGCGGCGGGAGAGTCGGAGAAGGGGGAGGAGGAGGTCGAGGGTTAGGAGGCGGGTGTGACTCTTCTTGACGAAGATTTCGAGGAGGTCCAGCACGCGGTTTTTGAAGTTGACCATGTTTTCGCGGGCGTCTTTCTTGTCTTTGCGGTGGGAGGTTTCTTGGCGGCGGGCGCGGAATACTTGCACTAGTTTGTCGTCTAGTTCGTCCATCTCGTCGTCGTTCATGTCGGCGTCTGAGTCGGATTCCGCTGCGTTGAGGTCTTCGTCGGCGCGGTGTGTCCCTAGGGCTGCGGCGAGCTTGGCTTCGAAGGCGGCGACTTCTAGGGCGTCGTCTTCGTTTGCTTCTTCTTCTTCTTCTTCCTCATCGGAGTCGGAGTCGGAGCCTTCCTCTGCTTCGACGACTTCAACGTCGCTGTCAAGGTCGTCGACATCCATCATCTCTGCGTCAGAGCCTTCTTCGCCTTCCTCCTCGCCGGATTCATCTTGCTCTTCGAACATCTCTTGCTGTCCAGCCAGACTCTCTTTGGCTTCCAGGATCTGTGTCCATTTAGTCTATGTATATCTTCGTATATTTGGGGCTGGTTTCACATACCGAAATCAAAGATTCCAATCCGTTCTCGGTGACCTGGTTAGCGAATGCGCTAAACACCTGCTCACTCATACGGCGGAACAGCTGTGATTGCTTAGATGCGAAACTGAGCAGGATCTCAACAAGCGCATCCGACGCATCGCCAGTGTCTTGCTTCTTGCTTTCCTTGTCACCTAGGAACTTGGTGGAGCAGAACTCTAGCTCGTCAAGCATGGACACTGCGTCAGCATCGCCGTTGTAGACCTGCATGATTGTCATGGAGTACAGCAGCTTGAAAGCAGCCATGCCCTTTTCCTTCTTCTCCTATTAGTTGGTCAGTAAAAGCAGAGGTAAGGAAAAAGACAAGCCTGGGGATTGTTTCTTACCTTGCCAGACAGCTTCTTCAGAG